TGGGGGTCCAGGGCGTGGGGCATGGGGCTGGAGGGGCGGAGGCGCTGGGGGGCGAGCAGCAGGCACGGCGGCCAGCTGGGCTTCTTGGGCAGCGGCACGGCGCCGCGTGCACCACACCACACCACACCGCCCGCCACCGCACACAAGGGAACACCCCCTCCCCCCGCGCACACACGCACCCTCCGTGTCGCAGTCTGAGAAGACGGCTGCGGAGCGGCAGGAGGCGGCGATGAGGGAGGCGGTCTTCCAGAAGGACTTGTCGAGGTAGCGGCGCAGGTCGATGTAGGCGTCAAACAGCGAGGCCGCCTGGCTGATCTCGCCGTCGGCAAAGTCGGCGATGACCTGGGAGATCAGCTTGATGACCTCCATATTGTCCAGGTTGGCCAGGAACCAGGAGGACTGGGCAAACAGAAAGTCGCCGGCCAGCACCGCCACGCGCGTGCCGTACAGGCTGTTCACCGTCTCCTTGCCTGCGGGCGGGGCGGGCGGGGGTCCGTGAGGCGGAGAGGTGGCGGTTTGCAAGGGGTTGGGGGGCCAGAGGGGATGGCAGGGGGCTGGCGGGGGCGCGAGGCAACGAGTGTGGCTGGCTGGCCGGCTGGCTGTGGCGGGGCCGGGGCGTGGTGGTAGGTTGCCGCCAGACGTGACGGTGACGGCGGCTCGCCCACATAACTGCCACGCTTGGTGGCAGGTAGCACGCCACGCACTGGCTGGCTGGCTGGCTGGCTGGCTGGCTGGTCGGCAGGATGGGTGGTTTTGCAGCCACCTGGCTCGCTCCGCCACCCGCGCGCCACACGGCCAGCGCTGGAGGGGCACCCACCTCGCCGCACGTCGCACTCATCCAGCACGTCGTCGTGCACAAGGCTGGCGGTGTGCAGCATCTCCGAGATCTCAGCCAGCCGCCGGTGCCGCTCGGTGATGTCGCTGCAGGCGGCAGGCGCCAGCGGGCGGGTCTCGGCTGCTGCATGCGGCGAGGCGGCACGCCACCCACGCGGCCTGCCCGCCAGCCAGCAGCCCTCCCAGCCAGCCAGCCAGCCAGCCACACGCGCGCGGCGGCGGCCTCACCTAAGGCCGGTCAGCGGGAAGGTGGCGCGCGCCACCAGCAGCACTATGAGCGGCCGCAGCCGCTTGCCGCCCGCGCTGAAGATCTGGTTGGCGGCGGCCAGCAGCATGGGGTGCCGCTCGCCCACCACGTTGAGCAGGTTCTGGCGGCAGATGTCCATGTCCTCCACCACGGGGGCAGACACCTGGCCCATGGTCACAGGCGCGTGGCCCAGGCCGGGCACGCAGCGGCAGCTGGCAACGTCGTCGGGCACGCCGGCGGCGATGGCGGGCGGCGCCGCCTCCTGCACCGGAGTGTAGACGCGCACCGGGCCGGCGCGGCTGGCCCGCGGCATGGCCCGGCGAGCCTCGTCTGCATCGCCGTCGCGCGAGCCTAGCGCCTGGGCGCGGGCTGGCTGCTGCCGGGGCCTGCTGCTGCCACAGGCGCTGCTGCGGTGACTTCTGCTCCACACACTGCGCCCGCCTGTCGCCGCCTGTGGCTCTGCATGTGATGTAAGGCTTGTACAGCCGCGCAGCGCTTGCATTCTGTTGCTACCTCCAGGTGCTGCAGCAAAAGACCATGCAAGACGCGGGGCAGGCCACAGAAATCGTTGACACGGTCGCAACCAGCGGTCCAACAATGTAGGAGGGCCTGCGGGTGGCACTTCGAGGAGATGGAGCAGGGCCTGCCTGCCAGCTAGACCGACCTCTCCTGCATCTTGCCAGCAATCCAGCGCCCCACGCTCAGCCCCTGCTTCTCCCACCCCCTGGTGATCTGTGCGGCTCATTAAACGCAGCATGGCAGCCGTCGCGGCTGTGGTAGGGCACTCCCGCCTGGCGGTCAGCCCCGTCTCCCAGCCTCGAGGATCGGCGCAGCTGAGGGCACCCGTAAGGCAGCTAGCGGCTGGCTGGCCACGCAGCAGACGCGCCTGCCGCACACAGGCAGTGGGGCAGGGTGAGCACCCACGCCGCCGCCGTGCTTGCCCGCCGCCGCCGAGGCGAGAGTTGGCCAACCCTGTGCCACTGCGCCGCACTGCAAGCGGCTCAGCATTGTCCTTGGGGTTTACCAACAGCGCTGTGGGCAACCATGTTTGCGCTCTGACAGCTGGCAGACTCGCCGTACAGCCGCCGCAACCAAGCTTCTTCGCGCTCTGCCCGGATCCGCCTGGTGGTCACGCTGCTGCTGTCGCCCACCATGAACCCTGCCAAAGCCAAACCGCTGCCGCCGCTGCTGCCGCCTGCCGTATGCTTCCCTGCAGTGCCCGGCACGCCCGCAGCGCCGGGGGCGGGGCTGTCGCCAGAGCTGCGGTGAGCGAGGGATCCAAATGGGAGGCTTGAAGGCGCCTGGATGGCGAGCGCCCTCTGTGCTTGTGTCCCCCTCTGACAGCAGGTTTCATCCCGTCTCCTTCCCTCTGTTCTTTGCTTGCAGCGAGGCCATCCAGCAGTTCATCACCGATAACAAGATCGGTGAGCACAGCTGGCGGGGGGAGCCGGGTGCAGCGTCCCTTGCACATGCCTGCCTGCCCCACAACCCTCGCTGTCCTCCCCGCCCACCCACCACACCCCTCGCCGTCCTTCCCCCCCTCCCCGCAGTGGCCTTCATCAAGGGCACCAAGCAGTTCCCCTCCTGCGGCTTCAGCAACACGGTGGTGCAAATACTGAACAACTGCGGCGCGCCCTACGTCACCGTCAACGTGCTTGAGGACGAGCTGCTGCGCAGTGGTGAGCGGCGCGTGCCGCGGGCGGGAGCGCGGGCGCGGGCGGCGCGAGGCTGCGTTGCTGGCGCTCACGGCGCCGATGCCGCGCCGGCGCTGCAGACGCCCCTTGAAGCCGCGCGTGCGCAATGGCGCCCCCAAGACATGCCCGCAATGCTCACACACGCATCCTTCCGAAGATTACCCTCACTTTTTGCTTCTATGCCCGCGTCCCCCGCGCACCTCCCGTCCACCCGCAGGCATGAAGGAGTTTTCCCAGTGGCCCACCTTCCCCCAGGTGTACATCGACGGCGAGTTCTTTGGCGGCGCAGACATCCTCATCGCCGCCTACACCAGCGGCGAGCTGGCGGAGGAGGTGGAGCGGGCCATCAACAACTGATTGATGGGCCGCCGGGGGCGCCTTCCGCGCAGGCAGCTGCCCCCGAAGCAGCCGCCCGCCACCTCCCGGGCCTGCTTCCACGGCCCTGGTTGGTTTGTGTTGCGCTGGTGCCCAGTGGCACCCTGTAGTGAGCGACGTAAGAAGCAGCGGCCTGGCGCAGGCCGGCTGTGGCAGAATGAACCAATGTGCCGCCTTTGCCCCGGCACGCAGCCCCCCGTGTACCTTCCCCCTTCCCTCCCTGTGCCAATTCCGTTTCTGTCTCCCCTTGGGCTGTGCATGCTGCCACCTTGGCATCTTTCCTCCTCTCTTTCCCTTGCCTACCAGGCCCTCTATCTCACATACTGACCCATCTGGCTTTTCAGCGTTGCCCCCATGGAATTTGACTCATCATTAGCCACGACAGGCATTGGCGAATGGATGGATGCCTCTCAGCTGTAGCGAATCGTTGTGCAGAGCAAGCCAGGCCCTGGAGGGGAGCCCCAAACGCTGGCGCATGAGAGCGGGGCATGCCAGCCCCCCCCATGCTCCCCGCGCTCACGCCCTTGCGCCTGCCTGCCGCCCGCCTGGCGGCGGCGGCGGGCGCAGGCGCGCCAGGTCCACGGGCGGCACGTTCCTGGGGCGTGCCGCGGGCGCCCTGCCCGTCAGCGTGCGCCCCCAGGTCACCTCCTCGCTGGCCAGCTCCCCCACCGCCCTGCCGCTGCCCCCGCCCTCGCTCTGCCAGCTGGCGCGCGCACTGGGGCGCTGGGGCGCGCCCTCCGCGTTGGCTGTGTCCAGTGCAGGCCCCGGCTCCCCCTGCGCCTGCCCCCTGGGCAGCTTCCGGCGCAGCGCCGCCACGGCGGCCGCCGCCTCGGCCGCCTCCTCCTGCATCCGCTGCCGCTCCAGCAGCAGGTTGTCCAGGCGGAGGTGCAGGGAGGCCAGCTGGCCCTGGTGGGCCCTGACCTGCGCGCTCAGCTCCCCATTCAGCCGCTCCAGCGACGCCTTCTCCCCCCGCAGCTGGCTGCACTGCTGGAAGAGCTGGTGAGGGCGCTGGCCCGCCGCTGCCGCCGCGGTCGCGGGCGCGGCGCCAGGTGCGCCGGCAGCAGCAGCAGCAGCAGCAGCGGCGGCTTTGGCCGCGGCAGGTGCAGCGCCCTCGCCGCCCTCGCCGCCGCTGCTGCCAGCTGCACACCCGGCGGAGGGCTCGTGTCCGGCTGCGTCTCCGGCCGGGGCGCGGGCGCCGAGGGCGCTGATTCCCAGCACCGCCGCCAGCTGGTGGAGCAGGTCGGCAGCACGTGCCGACAGCTGCTGTGCCAGCCACGCAGCCGCACCCTCTGCCGCCGCCTGCAACTCTGCCCCAGCCGCTGCCCGCGCAAGCCGGTCTTTCAGCTGCGCTGCCTGCTGCGCTGCTGCCGCCTCCGCCGCCTGCTGCTGCTGCTGCTGCTGCTGCTGCTGGCGGGCCTCGCTTGTGATCGCATAGAGGGCCGCCGCATCGGCGGCCGCTGTGGCGGCTGCTGCGGCAGCAGCGCTGCTGGCGCCGCCAAAGGAGTTGACGCACATGCTCTTGCTGCGCAGCACGGCTCTGCCGGCGCTCAATCCCCTGGCCTGCGGCGGCGACTGCCCCTGCGCCTGCGCCTGCGCCTGCGCCTGCTGCTCGGTAGCTGGCCTGGGCTGGGCGCCGGCGCCTTCTCCTGCTGCTGCCTCGGCCTGGTGCCAGGGGGCAGGCAACCGGCCGTCAGCAGGGTAGTGCTGCAAGCGGGAGGGCGGCCGCCCTATCGGCAACGCCGGAAGCTGCTGGTGGAGCGCCGGCGACGATGGCCGTGGCGGCGGCGGCACCTGGCTGGCCGCTGGCCTGGCTCCCCTGGCGGCTGCGCTGCCGGGGCGGGCCGCGACAGAGGTGCGGGTGGCACTGTCGGGGCGGGCGGCAGACCCAAGGACAGGGCTGGCCAGCCGTGGCACAGCTGCGGCCTGGCCTACCGCTGTGGGGAGGGGCGGACTGGCCGCGGTATCCCGTTGCATGCCGCCCAGCCGTCCCAGCCGGCTGCCCGCTCGGTGCTGCTGAGCTGCGCTCGATGCTGCTGCTGTGGCGGACAGTGCCACCGGTGCCAAGGGCTTCAAGGAGGTGCCAGCAGAGCTGCCTTGCCGTCCGGCAGCCTGCCCTGCCCTCCCGCCCGCATCAGCAAGCGCTGCCGCAGGGCCAGCCCTGGCCGCTGCCCCAGCGCCACTGGTGCCGGCGGCAGCTCTGTGCAGCTGCTGCCGCAGCGCCATGGCACTGGCCGCACGCTGCCGCTCCTCGGGTGGCTGCTGGCGGGCAGGGCGCTGCTGGTGCATGGCAGAGGCGGGCCGGCGGCTGGCGGCTGCTGCAACGCTCCCTCCGCTGCCGCTGGCCCCTGCTGCCGCACCACTGCTGCTGCCGACGATGACCCTGTTGGCTCTGGAGATGAGTGCCTGCAGGCGGGCTGCCGTGGCCGCACGCTGCTGGCCCAGCGAGGAGGAGGCTCGGCTGTCGGGGTGGGCAGACGTTGCGCAGCGTGCGGCGGGCCCGCCGTCTCCGCCTCCCCCCGCCATGCACTCCAGAGCTTTCAGGTATGGGCTGGGGGAGCGCTGCTGCCCCTCCTGCAGGCGCATGGTCGAGGTGCTGTTGGTGTAAGAGCGCAGGGCAAGGCTGGCAACTTGAGGCAGAAACGGCGGGCGGCAGCACCTGAGCGACGCTGGCGGCGGCGTCCCTCTTCCCCGGCGCGCGCCTCCATAGGCTCATTGCCGCCACCTCAGCGGCCTCAGCCTAGCTCGGAGGTCCTTTCGGCGAGCTGCTGATGATTTGAGCCAGCCTGAACCGCATGTGTCTGGCATGCCATAGACAACTTTGACTCGTGCTCAGGCCTTGGCTGATCTTCAATGGAAATAAACCGAAGCTTGATCATGCGTGAGGCGCCCCAGATGCCCCCGTTTCCTTTTAATTGCGCGCTGCTGTGCACGGCGTGCAGGCGCTTTGGTTGAGGCGCCCGCCGTGCTCCATTTCATTCATTGTTTTCAAAACCCTGTTTCAAACCCTGAATCTCCAGCATTGCCACAGCCCACTACCGGGCCTGGTGGTTCTCGGTTGGTGTTGTTCCCGCCTCTCTCTGCCGAAAAAGTACTCGCCTCGCCCTGGGCCTGACAGCCCGCAGCCATGCTGCCTAGGGCGGCCCGGCTGGCCGCGCAGCTGATGCGCGCCGCCGGGGAGCGGCAGGCGGCAGCCTACTCCACCGCCGTTTCGGGGGCGGCAGCCGCCGGAGTGGCCCGCCGCCTTGCCCTGGGAGGAGGCCTCGGAGGCATTGGCCTGGGCACGTATGCTGCTGTTGGGGACGAGCCCAAGCAGTTTGCCTTCTCGGCAGCCATGGTGCCCATCCGGCTGGGGCGGGATGTGGCGACCGCCGTCACCATGGTGGCAGGTGGGCACCAGCGGCGGCTGACACCGCAGGGCGCTGCCTTGTTGCCCAGCGTGTTTGAGAGTGCCGCCAAGCTACCGCCGCTGCTGCTGCCTCCCTGTGCCTGCTCCTTCAGACTACCAGTACAGCCTGCGGGGGCTGGAAGGGGAGGAGCGGGAGGCGGCGAAGCGGGCGTGCCACCAGCGCGGCGCCAACCGCCTGCTCGCCTGCTGCTTTAAGAACGGAGGTGCGTGGCGGGCTGGCGGCTGGCGGGCTGGCGGGCTGCCTGACCCTAGCACTGCTGCTGCCTGGCAGTGCGGTATGACGCATCCGGCGCCCGCTGCATGCTGTGCAGGCATTTACATCAAGCTGGGCCAGCACATCGGCATGCTGGTGGGAGCTGCGGGCAGCCAGGCGTATGCGGCAGCCGCCTGGGGAGCCGCCGCTGCGCAGCTCCATGGCGGCGGGTGCAAGCAGCCTCACGCCAGCCACCCGCTCCTCCTCCCCGCCACCTTTCCTCCACCACCTGCCTGTGTGCCTGCCCCCCCTGCAGGACCACCTGCTGCCCGCAGAGTATGTGGAGACGATGAGGGAGCACATGCTGGACCGCTGCCCCGTGTCCACATACGAGCAGGTGCAGGGGTCTGCAGCACACCTGCCCCACATACATGCACGCACTAAACACGTAACCATGAGCAGCACCTGGCCTGGTGCTGTGCCCTCTGCCCCCCCCCCCCCACAAACAAAA